ATTCACAACCCGCACCCATCATTCACAAACCCCAAATGGTGGCAACCCTATTTTGGTAGGGTTTACCGTGAGTGAAACCCGGGGTTTTTTGGGAATTCCATTTTAAAACTTTTCTTTGGGTTTCAAATGTTCCCCCGGGCAAAACCAAAAATTTGGGGGGGTTGTTCCCCCCAAACACTAGCCCCCTTGATGTACCCCAAAAAAAATTTAGATTTTACATGTAAATAAAAACCCCCTAATTTTTCAGGGAAAAACCCCCTAAAACCCCTTTTTTGGGGAAAAAAAATGGCTGCAAAAGGGCTGGAAAAAGGAAGTCATTTATTTTTTCCCATTTGGGGGGAGTGGGGGGTGACCCCTCTATAAGGTTTCTACGTCCATCCCACACCCCGTAAGCTGGGGTCCCCACTCCCAAGGATGCTTCTGGGGCTGCAGTTCCTCTGAGCTCCAAAAGGTGGGGTTTTTCACTTCTACCAAAAGGGGGTCTCTATGGAAAAACAGACCAGGAAGGGGGATGTCGTTTTAAAGGGGAAGGGAAAGTTAAAATTTTCGGGTTTTCGAACCCCCAGGAGGTGGGGTTTTAGGCAAAAAGGGGAAGTTATTTAATGTTAAGGAAGTAAGAGGAAGATGCCCCCCCGGTTCCCCTGAGTTTTTTTAGCAAGGAGGGAGGTAAAAACGTAGATAAACCCCCTTCAGGGGGAGGAGTTGTTGTTTTTTTTTGCTCCCAAAGCTGGCCTTACAGGGTTTCGTTTAAATCGTTCAGCTCGGGATGAGCATAAAAATAAAAAGGGATTCCCCCATCCACACATTGGAGGTGGATGGGGGAATCCTCCCCCGAGGCACTCTTGTATTCTGACAATGACGGGGTACTCCTCCGCTCTCAGAATACATCGAGATCAGCACTGAATCTATTGGCTGCAGCTGCTGGCGGAGGGAGTGGCCTTTATCCGGCAAGTGGCCACACTTGGATGGAAATGTGGATGCGATCCCTTGCTGAACAAGCTGAATTTCCATGGATCTATGGTCACCTTCCAGATGACTTCCTCCCCTCCCCCTCATCTCCTTCATGATGGATAGTCTTTGCTGAGAATCAATCTCCCATTTGGCGGCTGAGGCGCATGTCCCTTCCATCCAAAGAGTCAGAGAGATCCTATGACAATCACCCTGAACCTCACAGCTCCCTCTACACAATGTCCCCTTCCATCCAAGAGGTTCAGAGAATCCTATGACATCACACTAGACCTCACCCTGTTCCTCCTACCAATGTTCCCTCATCCAGAGTCAGAGAATACCTATGTACATCACACTGCGACCTCACAGCTCCTCACTCCCAATGTCCCTCCATCCAGGAGTCAGAGAATCTCCTATGACTTCACACACAGACCTCGACGAGCTCCTCCTCCCAATATTTTTCCCTCCATCCAGAGTCAGAGTAATCTTATGACATCACAACTGACTCTCACAGACTCCTCCTCCCAATGGTGTCCCTCCATTTGGCTCCATTCTTTCTCTTGAATCTCTGGTCTTTAGGATGTAGGGAGAACCCTTGGCATCCTCATAAGCAAACCAGAACATGGTTGGTCCTTGCATTGTTGTAATAATGACGTCAGAATTCCCTTATAACCCAGCGTAAGTGTGGGGGTCCTGTGGTGGGGGAATTATACCTCAGCCAGAAGTGGGGCTTTAATAAAATGGAGACTGAATGGAGAGGTGAGGAGGATTCTGGGAATATCATTTTGATGTTCGATGACTGTGTTCAGATGTAGAGTTTTCCTCTGTGAAGTATGGAGATCATATGACATCACATTGCCTCCACCTCCCTCCCTGATAGAAGAGAGAAAGAAGAAGAAGATTCTAGAAGTCACGAGAGAGATCAAATTGAGCTGCTGACAGGAGAGGTGAGCATGGTTGCCGGGAATTCTGGGACATTCTCCAGTAACAGACAAGGGATGTGTCTGGATGGTGACTGTATCATTGTGTGTGTGTCAGGTTCCTATAAGTGTCAGGGTGTCACTGTCTATTTCTTCCATGGAGGAGTGGGGGAGTATTTAGAAGGACACAAGGATCTCTACAAGGACGTCATTGATGGATCAATCAGCCGCCCTCCTAACATCACCGGGTAAGAGGAGACTTTAATTGTAAAGGATGAGAGCAGTACGGAGGATCCACCTAGATCCCCCATCATCTGATAAACTCCACATAGAAACAATGGATTCAGTCAAGTGTGTGTGTTTTCCTACAGATGGATCCACTGTCATGGGAACCCACCAGAGAGATGTCCCCGTCCTCTGTATTCCCGGGATTCCACACAGGAAGGTCACACCATCCCTCACCATCATCAGGTAGATGATGACAACAATATTGGTAGTATGTGATTTGATACACAGCATTTTGTTTGTACAATGAATGTTTTTTATATCTTTCAGAGTGGAATCCTCGGGCGAGTGATGAGAAATTTGATGTTAAAGAAGAGTATAAAGAGGAGGATGAGGAGTATGGAGTGATGGCAGGAGTTTTAGAAGGACACAAGGAGATGATGGAGCCACCAGAATACCAGGAAACCCACCAGAGGCAGATGTCCCCCGTCCTCTGTATTCCCGGGATTCCTACACAGGAAGGTCACACCATCCCTCAGTATTGCAAGGTTGGTGGTTTGCGATTTATACACAGAGGAATCTAGAACTAGAGTGGAATCTCGAGGACTTGGTGATGTTAAGGGGTGTATAGAGTGGATATTTTTATTTCATTTTATGTTTGGTATGTGACCTTACATTTTACCAGATGATATTCTCCATCCTCATTTCCTTGATTTAGAGTGGAGAGAAATCTAGAACATTGGACTTGTAGGGTCGTTCCATATTTTTTATGTGAATTTTCTTCATTTCCTTGATTTAGCGTGTGAGGTGATATAGAAAGGAAAGCTAGAAGAGAAGAGGCGTATGTGAGGGTTATGATCAGCAGTCTATGGAGGAGGATGGAATAACGGGGACATTTTATAGAGGAGGACACTCCTACAGAGATCAGCACAGGGGGGTCATGAACACTAAATCCATTCCATCCACCCATACTGCTCACTGATTGGTCCAGAGTAGGGCTCGGGGACTGGGTGATATCAGCCTGTAATCCCCTGGTCACTTTCCTGAGCTGTGTTCCCCGTCCTGTATTTCCTTGGTTTTCTCTCGATAATCTTCCTTCTCTGTGCTGCAGACACAATTATGTATCTAGACTGGATTTATGGAGGCTTCTGGGGTTCAGCTGGCAGCAAAATGTTCATTTTTCAACCATAGACATTGCTCCTACTTAGGCCCCTGGGGACATGTGATTTGGTATTCTTCCCATGTCCAGGTCTAGTAATAGTAAGAGATCTCTGACCAGAACATTTCTCCTGGGGTTCCTTGCTCTGTGGTCTGCTGGCTGTGCCGGGTGGAGGGATATGTCTGTAGTGTCTCAGACCCAAGTCACTGAGTGCAGTCTCAGGAGATGGGAGACAAGCAACCCTTTAAGGACCTTTAATTACTTAATAACAATATTATGAGTCCTGACCCATTTGACACTATATAATTTATATTGTACTATTAATACTCCTGACCCCTGCACTATATACTCTATGTTGTACATTACATACTCCTGACCATTACACTATATAATTTTTATTGTACATTACATACTCCTGACCCTGCACTATATACTCTATGTTGTACATTACATACTCCTGACCCCTTGCACTATATACACTCTATGCTGTACATTACATACTCCTGACCCCTGCACTATATACTCCATATTGTACATTACATACTCCTGACCCCTGCACTATATACTCTATGTTATACATTACATACCTCCTGACCCCTGCACTATATACTCTCTGTGTTTGTACATTTACATCTCCTGACCCTGCACTATTACTCTTAGTGACACCCTGACTATAACACTGCTATGTTGTACATTACATCCTCCTGACCCCTGCACTATATACTCTGTTGTAAAAGGGGGGGGCATACTCTATTTCCGTGATTACATACTGGGTAGGGGGGGGGGGGGGGGGGGGTTATATAGGCTCGCACTGACCCCGGCACTATACTCTGTTGTTAATTACATACTTCCTGACCCCTGCACTATATACTCTATAGTGGATATAAAAAAGTCTACACACCCCTTGTTAAAATGTCAGGTTTCTGTGATGTAAAAAAATGAGACAAGGATAACTCATTTACCAAACTTTTCCACCTTTAATGTGACCTATAAACTGTACAACTCAATTGAAAAAACAAAACTGAAATCTTTTAAGGGGAAGTAAACAAAAAATACTAAAATAATGTGGTCTTGCATAAGTTTGCACACCCTCTTATAACTGGGGATGTAGCTGTGTTCAGAATTAAGCAAAAATCACATTCACAATCATGTTAATTAGGAGTCAGTACACACCCGCCATCATTTACAGTGCCTCTGATTAACCCCAAATAAAGTTCAGCTGTTCTAGTCGGTCTTTTCTGACATTTTCTTAGTCGCATCCTACAGCAAAAGCCATGGTCTGCAGAGAGCTTCCAAAGCATCAGAGGGTGTCAGGGCAGGGCTTTGGAACGGACAGGTAGGCCTAGTGGCAGGATAATGCACTGACTGATGACAACAACCACCAACAGACCGAAGTCCCTCAGGGCGCGGAGTCTAAGTCCCAGGCTGCCCTTCACCAGGGCCCCTGATGGTGAGGATGGACTTAACGCAGCCAGGAACCAGGTCGCAGCCCCCGAGACACCCCGGCTGCGGTAATGGCCACCGCCAATGGTGTGTAGCTGGTAGGAATGACAATAGCGTAGTCAGGCAGGCCGGGTCGACAACAACGGGACAAAACGGTACAGAACAGTAGACAAGAATCACAGGTCACGGGCCGGGTTCAGCAACGGAAGGTCAGATCAAACTAAAACACAGAGAATGGTCCTAGTCACAAGCCGAGTCAGATTCCAGAAGAGTAAAGAGAGTATGAACAGAGCTGTAGCTACACACGACACAAGACACAAGTGCAAAGAGCATGTGCGGATCACAGGCTTATATGTGCTCAGCCACACCCCCTCTGGGGGATGGACCTCAGAGACCTGAAGGCATAAAAGACTCCCACCATGCTCTGCAGAAACCAAGATGGATGCCAGCACATGAAGCCACACAATCTCTGGGGTAAAAGGTAGGACTTTGACAGTACCTCCTCCTCAAGGGCGCAACCCCCTGCGCGACTAAACAAAAGGCTTCTGAGGAAAGCAGGCATGAAAAGCTCGGAGCGAGGGCAGGGGCATGGACATCCACGGAAGGAACCCAGGAACGCTCCTCGGGACTATAACCGCGCCAATGAACCAGCAACTGCACCCGACCGCGCACACAATCGAGAGTCCAGGATCCGGCTCACCTCATACTCCTCATGACCGTCAACCCGGATGGGACGGGGCCGAGGCAAAGAGGCAGTGAAGCGATTGCAGACTAGAGGCTTCAACAGGGATACATGGAAGACCTTGGAGATCCGCATCCCAGGAGGAAGAGCAAGAGCATAGGCCACCCAGATTCACCTTGCGGAGAATGCGAAAAGGACCCCGAAACGGGGGGCTAGTTTAGGTGCGGGCACCCGCAGATTGAAGTTGCGAGTAGATAACCACACCCGATCGCCGACCTGGTATGAAGGAGCGGGTAGCCGTCTGCGATCAGCCTGGAACTTCTGGCGCTGTGCCGAGTCCCTCAAGGACTTCTGGATCTGCCCCCATGAAGAACGCAGGGCAGAAAGATGGTTCTCCACAGCGGAATGTCCTGTGGTGAAAACCTCTCAGGTAATACCCCAGGTTGGAACCCATAGTTGGCCATGAAGGGAGACATCCCGGAGGAGGAGTTGACAGCCGAGTTCCTGGCAAACTCTGCCCAAGGCAGGAGATCGGCCCAATTGTCCTGATGGTCTGAGATATAACAATGAAGGAATTGTTCCAAGGCCTGGTTGGAACGCTCCGCAGCCCCATTGGGACTGCGGGTGGTAGGCTGAAGAGAAGGAGAGACCTAATGCCCAACTGGGAGAAGAAGGCGCGCCAGAACCTGGACACGAACTGACTCCGCAGTCGGAGACAATCACCTTGAGCAACCCATGCAGGCGAAAAATCTCCCTGGAAAAGACCGTGGCCAGCTGTTGGTAATATTTCTTGAGTTCTTGCGCTGTTGGTAATTTCTTGAGTGTAATGCAATGGCACATTTTGGAAAAATGATCGACGACCATGAGAATGACCGTATGGCCCCGAGACACGGAGGTCTACAATAAAGTCCATGCCCAGTGTGACCAAGGACGCTTCCTATTGGGAATGGGTTGCAGAAGACCCAATGGAAGATGCCGTGGAGATTTATTCTGGGCACAGATCGAACATGCCGCTACATAAGAGGCAATGTCGACACGGAGAGTTGGCCACCAGAATAAACGAGAGACGACCCAAGACAACTGGTTCTTCCCCTGGATGCCTGGCAGTATTGGAGTTATGGTACGTATGCAGCAGATGGGTGCGCAACCCCTCGGGTACGAAACATCTACCCTCCGGTCTCTCGGGAGGAGCGTCAGTTTGAGCTGCCAAAATCTGCTCCCCAAGGGGAGAAGTCACACTGGTGCGAATGGCAGCCAGGATCTGATCCGGAGGTATGACCGAGGTTGGCTCAGAGTCCTCCCTGGACAACTCAGAGTATTGCCACGATAATGCATCAGCCCTGACATTCTTGGAACCAGGCAGATAGGAGACCACATAGTTGAACCGTGACAAAACCAAGGCCCATCTGGCCTGACGGGGTGTCAATCTCTTGGCCTCCGAAAGATAAGTCAGGTTCTTATGATCGGTAAGAATGAGGACCGGAAACCGCGGAGCCCTCGAGCAGGTGCCTCCATTCCTTGAGAGCCAGAATGATTGCCAACAAACTCCCTATCTCCAATCTGGTAGTTGCACTCTGCAGAGGAAAGCTTCCTGGAGTAGAACCCACAGGGAAGTAGGGGTCCATCGGGCGACCGACGTTGAGACAGGAGAGCGCCTACACCCGTCTCGGATGCATCAACCTCGAGGATGAAGGGCAATCCAGGATTGGGATGAGACAGTATCGGAGCCGAAGCAAAGGTGGATTTCAAAGCCTCGAAAGCTACGATGGCCACTCGTGAGGATTACTGCCCTTCTTGGTTAGGTCTGAGAGAGGCTTTGCCAGCGTGGAGAAGTTCCTGATGAACTTCCGATAGTAGTTGGCAAAACCCAAAAAGCGCTGAATGGGCCGAAGACCATTGGGACGAGGCCACTGCAGAACCACCGCAACCTTCTGAGGGTCCATGGAGAATCCCTCCGCAGAAATGATGTAGCCCAAAAAGGAAACTTGGGATCGATGGAATTCGCACTTCTCGAGTTTACAAAAAAGTTTGTTTCTCACATAATCGTTGCAGCACCTGCTTGACATCCTGGATATGGGACTCCATGGAGGCAGAGTAAACCAGGATGTCATCCAAGTAAACTACCACGCACTGCTGCAACAAGTCACAAAGGGCATCATTTATGAATTCCTGAAAAACCACGAGCGCGTTACACAACCCGAAGGGCATCACCAGGTATTCATAGTGACCGGTTGTGACGGGAGTGACTTTTGGGGGGTGGGGGGGACCTCTGTATCATCTTCCCAAATTCCCATTATGTTTAAGGCACCCTGTGCCTGTTAAGGGTTACAGGGTGTGTATGTGAATGTCTGAGTCTTGTGTATAGTGTGTGTTCCTTTTGTCTAGGCCACATGGCTGTCCATTGTCTGTTTGCCATGTGCTACCCCCATTGTGCTGTGTCTTCCTGTCCAGCCAACTATTATGGGATGTACTGTTTGTGTATTGGTGTGGGGGTTGGTCAATATCCTTTGCCATGTGTTTTCATCCATTGTTCTGTGTCTTGGGTTGGTTGGGGTGGTTCCCTGTAGCCCTTCCCACTGATAGGGCGGGGCTGATGATGTATTTCCTGTCCCTGGTTGTGTTTCCCTGCCCTCTGTATATATTCTGTGTTTTGTTTAAAATAAAGAGTTGGCTTTCTGTTTTAAGAGCTGGGTGCTGTCTATTTTCCCGAGGGATTTCAAGGGCGTGGTCCGTGGATGGTGT